GTACTTCGCATGCATGGACAGCTTCACCTTGGCACTGCGCACTGCCAGAGCCAAATAGCCTCCGGTGTCCGCTGAGCCGTGACTCCCATAGTCTCAAGGCGTGCTCGAGTGGAGAGGCCAAATAACGCTGTTCTTTCTGCCGAATTCCCCACGTCAACTCGCCCCATTTGGTCTCCCCCTCTCCCAGGGTCGGTGGTGGAGAGAAAGAGGGGGCTTGGTCGCGATCCCCCACAATGTGAGAGGGACTCAAGATTCAGAGGTCCTTGTTTTCCCCAGGCTCTGCTCCGCACCCGCACCTCGTCTGGGGTAGACCGTCTCATCTTGCCCGGACACCCCCCCGTCGAGCGATGGCGGCAAGCGCATTTCCGGGTGAGTGGATGATGGGCTGGCAAACGCTCCGCACAAAACCTCCTCTCATCTCTGTTCCTCCTCGAACAGCCGCTGGGTGGCTGCAGGGGCCCTAGATCCTTCCCATCGGGTCCTTTCATCGTTCGTTGGTTCGAATTTGCAATACCTGGTACCGATGGATTGCACACACACACACATACACACACAAGCGAATCTTTCGACGGACGGGGATTGCCACGGGTAAGAATGGGCAAGTCGTAAGCAGCCGCTATGCGCAAATCTTTGGTCTAATGCTTGTTGTTGCTTGGAAATCTCTTGGTTGTGCTTGTCGATGCTTGTTCAAAGCTTGTCATTCAGTGGATGGGCGTCATTCGCCCACCAACAACAGGGAACCGCATCCTTGTCAACCACCCACCCCGTGTCCCCATGATCGAGATGTGGGAAAGGAGCAACGGATCTTTCAACACATAATAATGCTTTAGCAACACTCGACGAGGCCCGTCAGTCCGGATCTCTGACTTGGCCAACCCTCTGTATCGAGAGTGTCCCAGCCGAGGTTCACAAAGCATTCACGTTTAGCCCATGTCGCCATGTGCGTTTTCGCCGAGAGGCTCTAGCTGAGGCAAGCCATAGTGCCACCAGGATACGGGAGGCTGCGCCTGGGCTTGCCTCTCGCACAGGCATGCACCAGAGGGTCGCGATGCCCCCCCTCCTCTGCTGTGTCGAAGCTTGGCCTTACCAACAGCCACGTGTTGGGTTGAGAGGACTGGTACTAGCGCCGGCCGAAGGGAAGCCCATTCATACAGGGTGTGAGGCACGTTGGGGGAAAACACGTTTCGGAGGCGGTGGGCTTACGCAGGGGGGTCAAGTAGGAACAAGCATATAGTAAAAGGGGTGGGAGGAGGGGTTCTGAAGCGAGAGATTCGATTCCGACGGGACTTGCGGGAGAAGCAGAAGGGCAGATGGCACCAAGAGATGGGGGCTGCGATTGCGGCTGCACCAAAGGGCGCTTGGGAAGCTGCCATGACGACGGTGGACGGCTGACCGTTACCAATGAGGAAAGACGACCGATTGAGGGCGCCGCCAGTCGATTGAGCCTGGCTGTGCCGGGGTTCTTGGCTGCAGTCGATCCGAAGGGGCTTGCGAAGCTTCATCGCCGCCTCGGTCGACGGGGGAAAGGACACACTACCTAACCCCCCTTTGTTGAGAGCCGACGACGGGCCTGGCGCGTGGCTGAGGCACAGATAGAACAGGGCACGGGGAACGCCATGAGTATTCGGGGGTGGTTGATTCGTTGTTGGTGCCAGAAGAGGGGCCCAGGGTCAGCAGAACGAGGGGCAACGCGGGGACCTAGGTCGCGAACCAGAAAAGATGGGGGAACTGACTGGACCAACGTAAAAAAAAAATAAGCCTAAATGTAGTGTGTAATCTCCCCCGCTCCGGGGTGATCTGCTAGGCCTGAAGCATCTCGTGCTGAGGGGATTCCATGAATCTTTGTCGTGTTCACTGCACGGCGGGGTTCCGTCGCCAATTATCCGCCAGCAGGACAAGCATTGATGATCGATAGGGTTGATTTGCCCCCGTGCCCGTGAGGATTAGATTTTTGAGCGAGAGTCAATGCATGGGTCAGGTTGTCGCAGCGCCGTACGTGTGTGAATTTCCAATGCCCGATATGGTGATTTTTCGAATCTCCGGTCAGTTGCCTGTTGCTTGTCGCCATCTTGAACTTGCAATTTCGCGATATGGGACGGAACGAGAAGGACAGGGTATCTGAATCTCACCCTCGATGAACCCCTTCCCTCGTTCAGCCCTCATACAGTCCCATCCGTGGTTCCTATTCGACATGGATCTTTCGGGACGTCCGCACTGCCGTGTCCGGCGGTGGCCAGCCAAGGATGTGAAAAGAGAATGGTGTGCGGGCAGATTACACACCAATCGCCTCAGCCCCCCTGCCTGCCGCTGACGACATGCAGTGCGACGCTGACGGCACGACGTTCGTTGTCCATCGAGGCAATAGAGCCGATGATAAGGACAGCCTGAACCCTGGCACAAACGTCCTGAACGTGGCGTCGTAAAATTGAGCCTCGAGTTTTTCCAACCTCCGGCTGCCCTATCAATTCATGCGTATGCAATGTTGCTTCTTCCATAAATATTGCCGCGCTGCTTCATTTGTGGCGACTGGCTGCTTGAGGAGGCGTTGACCGTGTCACGGCTTTCTAATTTCCATGTTTGGTGTCCGGTATTCGAACTTTAGGGGGCTGGTCCCCCTTCGATACCTAGCTCGCGCGCGACTGACTGCTGCAGTGGCACCGACCCAACAATCGGCAAACAGAAGCTGAGAACCCCTTCCAAAGGGCCAGTTTAGTGCCTGTTTCCTGTTCACGCTGGCACTCAGAGGGCGGTGCTGCCCAATGGGGTCACGCCGAGACCTTTCAAGGATCCCTTCGACCGTGTCTCATCTCAAGGGCTGACTCGTTTTGCTCGTGTGCGCCCCAGGTAATTCGTTTGCCAAGGCTCTTGGTTTGCAGCCGCGTGAGACCCAACGTGTCGCCCGCCCTCGCTATCGGATAGTTCGGTTCTCTGCCTAACATCGTGCTGGATGTTTCTGGTCGCACTGATGCATGTTAGATTATCAGGGTTCGCATTGCTCAAAGATCAGTCTGGGCGAGCGATTCAGGCCCGCGCAACCATACTCCAGTTGCGTTGTGTTCATCGATGGTCATGACATCGTAACCTTGATTCCTCGCCCCTTACTCGTCGAATCTCGAGAGGTCCACTGCGACTGGGTGTTCCTCTGTACTGACTGATATGACCGGTAATATCAAAGCTCTGACGAGTTGAGAAAAGGTCGGTGTTGAACACCAACTACTCCGATGCTCCTTACAGTCACCACTTAAAGATGCCCTTGCGCCCTTTGGTTGCTTCTGATGTTCAATCCCAGTCAGGACAAATTACTCACTGCTGGGACCGCCCGTTCGTAATTGGAGATTGTAGGTGCATGTCGGTCTAGAATGTTCAATTAGGCGATCAGAGTTTGACACCCATGGTGCCAGAGGCATGGCGTTATCCCAGACTGGCCCTGGCGATCGCATGCAAAGGCTTGTCGAGAAACTGCAAAGTCGGATAACCGGCATGTTGAATTCTGCCCTAATCAGTATCTGGAGAGTAGAGGGCAGCCTGCATGCATTAAGCATCCTGCCGGTGAAGACGGTTTCAGCGCCGCTGGTCGAGGTTGCACTGGAATGATAGGCTGCGATGACTGCTCCAGATTGAGAATGACATTTCTTCTGCGTACCTCTTGGGCTCAGAGTCGTTCCGGCATGCTGACAAGCATTAGTTTCTCAGCTGATGGCCAGCCATGCAGCTCGAGACTCTGAATGGCCATTCGATTTTGCGATGCATCGGGACGGGTTCCTGAAATCGCCAGCGTCAAGGAAGAAACCCGTCACATTCTTAGGATTTCGTACTCAAGGCCAGCGATCGATTGTTCCGATGCTCTTCGCACACTAGTGATCGTTGCTGAATGCCATCCTTGCCAGATTTTTCATGAGCCGAATGAGACCCTGGTGAAGAACGACGGGCCTAGATGATTGTTGGTTGAATAGTAGCTCTAGCGGAAACCTAAAGACATCCACACATCCTGTTATAAGCCCATTGGAGTCTTGTGAAGAACTGTCGTCGCAGAGTCACCCGGCCCCGGAAGCAGACTCGCCAGTTGGTCGGAGGAGCAAACCTGTCTATCTCAAAGCTGCAGTAGCCTGTTGATAAGACGCAAAAGCCCTACTTTTTCTTTTTCCTGGAAGCTGTTGAGGAGGTCCGAATGGGAGGAACCATGCCAATCAGAGTGGATAGTGAAGGCCAAGCTACAGTCCCACAAAAGCCGCAGTGAGGGCACGTGACGAACGACAATTAAAGACAGCTGGACTCCACTAACACGGGACGCGCCTGGAGCACGCGCTGTGAGAGACGCGAACCACTCCTCGACGCGCTCCTGGCTGGCGGGACGATAAGCTCCTCCAATCTCCTACTGTGGCCTGCAGATTGTTGGACACACTCGTCATGCATAGGACTCCCCAATGCCATCTCTCGTACTAGTTGACGACGTCCGGAGTATATCGAATCATCTTTGTTTTGTACTCTGATTGTATCAACACTGTCGTTCTTTCCCCATCGTGTTTTCAGTACTACTTCGGTGCTGAGCACCCGCGATCTGACGAAAGGACCCTGAAAATGGTCGAGAAGCGGGCAACACCGGCGCGAACGCCGGCGAGGCTGTCCAAGACGCCTTCAGGCAGCACCCAGAAGTCTATCACGAGCTTCTTCTCCAAGCCGGCAACTTCCTCAGCCACCAAGGCAGCAGCATCGACTCCGACGTCAACGGCTACGCCAACACAGAAGCCCCCAAAGGTGGAATCTCCTTGCCTGAAAGAGTCTACCAACAAGTCCAACACACTCTCGAAGATCAAGCGCCCTGCCAATGTAACACCCGTTCCTAGCAGTGACGCCCTTGAACCGCCTAGCTCCCAGGAGAACATGGATTCTACAGTGACCAAGGTAAATAGCCCATAAGCCCCCTTACTGCTGACCATTACTGATCTGTTCGTTGCATAGAAGGCGACCATCACTTCCAATGTCCTACCCAGCAGCCCTTCCCGTAAGGTATGTGGCGAGATCCAATCGCTGAAATTTGTACCAAAAACTCACATTATGCTATGACAGACGAAGAAGGCGGTGAACTATGCCGAGTCCTCGGACGAGTACGACGATCCTTTCGACGACGTGCCAGCTCCCCGAAACCGTCGCCGTGTTAGAGCTCGTGGCGCGGTTCTGGATGACGAAGACGACTTTGCCGCAGACCCAGACAACTTCAACCCTGCTGAAGAGGATGAAGACGAAGGTACAATACCCATGATTGGCGCAGCTAGTTCTCTTTACTTACATGCTCACAGAAATGGCCGACTTCATCGCCTCGGATGACTCAGACGAAGAACCGACTACAAAGAAGCGAAAGCGACCCGCGAAGAAGGCAGCTCCTCGCAAGAGGACTGCCTCGGCGGTTCCCACCTCGCCTATTGTGGAGCCTGCTACGAATGATGATGGCGAAGATATTGATATGGATGACCTGCCCCCACACTCGACAGCTCAACAGTGGAAATTCGACCCCGATGCCGTGGTCGAACCCGGCTCGAGAGCCGCTCGTCCACCTGCTGCGAAGAAGTCATCAGCCGTATCCAAATTGAAGGTCAAGGCCCATACCCAGGAGCCCAGCGATCGATACCCGTGGCTTGCGAATATCACTGATATCGACCGCAAGTCTCCAGGCGACCCTGAGTACAACCCATCCAGTATTTACATCCCCCCTGGAGCATGGAATAAGTTTTCCCCCTTTGAGAAGCAATACTGGGCGATTAAACAAAATTTGTGGGACACAATCGTTTTCTTCAAGAAGGGTAAGTTCTTCGAACTGTACGAAAACGATGCGACGATTGGCCATCAGCTTTTCGACTTCAAAATGACGGATAGGGTCAATATGCGCATGGTCGGCGTGCCCGAGAGCTCTCTCGACATGTGGGTGAATCAATTCGTAGCCAAAGGCTTCAAGGTTGCCCGCGTTGATCAGATGGAGTCTGCTCTTGGCAAGGAGATGCGCGAACGCGATGACCAAGCGGCGAAGAGCAAAAAGGTTGACAAGATTATCCGGCGTGAGCTGGCGTGCATCCTGACCGGAGGCACGCTGGTTGAAGGCAGCATGCTTCAGGACGATCTCGCGACTTACTGCGCCGCTATCAAGGAGTCCATCACGGATGGGATTCCGTCTTTCGGCATCTCGTTTGTGGACTGCGCCACTGGCCAATTCTTCATCACAGAGTTCGAGGACGATGTTTGACTTGACCAAGTTCGAGACCTTTGTGGCCCAAACATCCCCCCGTGAACTTCTGTTAGAGAAGTCACTCCTCTCGAGCAAAGCCTTGCGGATCCTGAAGAACAACACTTCGCCAACCACCATCTGGAACTACAGAAAACCAGGCCTCGAGTTCCTAGATGCTGATGTCACTCGCCGGGAGCTTGAGACGGGCGGATATTTCGATGGTGACGGCGAGAGGGAAGGAGGCTGGCCCACTGTTCTTGCAGAAGCAAAGGAGAAGGACCTTGCCATGTCTTCGCTGGGTGCCTTGGTAAAGTATCTTCAGCTTCTCAAGATTGAGCAGAGTCTCTTGTCGCAGGGCAACTTCGAGTGGTACAACCCTATTCGACGAAACGGAACCCTCATTCTTGACGGCCAGACACTCATCAACCTGGAGGTATTTGCCAACAGTGCGAACGGCAGCACAGAAGGGACGCTGTTCACCCTCCTCAACAAATGTGTGACGCCGTTTGGCAAGCGCCTTTTCCGGCAGTGGGTGTGCCATCCTCTCTGCGACATTGACCGGATCAACGAGCGTCTGGACGCTGTGGACATGTTGAACTCGGACCGCAGCGTCCGTGAGCAGTTCTCCGCTCAGATGACAAAGATGCCGGACCTTGAGAGGCTGATTTCTAGAATCCACGCTGGGGTTTGTCGGCCTGATGACTTTGTCAAGGTTCTCGAAGGCTTTGAGCAGATCGAGTACACAATGAGTCTCTTGGGTGCGTGGGGCGGTGGCAAGGGTCTCGTCGACAGGCTTATATCCTCCATGCCCAACCTAGACGAGCCGCTCAGCTACTGGAAGACGGCTTTTGACAGGATGAAGGCGAAGAATGACAGAATGTTCCTCCCGGAAAGAGGCATCGAAGAGGACTTTGACGAGAGCCAAGACCGGATTGCCGAAATCAAAAAGGACCTGGGCAAGCTTCTTGAGAAGAAGAAGGCTGAGCTGAAATGCAAGACGCTCAAGTTCACAGATATTGGAAAAGAAATCTTCCAGATTGAGGCACCCAAGTCGACCAAGGTTCCTTCCAGCTGGAGGCAGATGTCGGCCACGTCCAGCGTCAAGCGGTACTATTTCGATGCCTTGACAGAGCTAGTACGGGACTTGCAAGAGGCTGAAGAGACCCACGGACAGATCATGAAGGAAGTTGCATCGCGCTTCTTCCGTCGTTTCGATACCGATTACACTACGTGGCTGCAAGCGATCCGCATCATCTCCCAGCTCGACTGCCTGGTCAGCCTCGCGAAGGCTTCCTCGTCTTTGGGCGAGCCAAGCTGCCGCCCGCAGTTCGTTGACGAGGAGAGAAGCCTCGTCGAGTTTGACGAACTGCGTCACCCGTGCATGCTGAACACAGTTTCTGACTTTATTCCCAACGCCATCGAACTGGGCGGCAACTCGGCCAAGATCAACCTTCTTACGGGCGCCAACGCGGCCGGAAAGTCAACGGTCCTTCGCATGGTAAGTCATTGCTACTGATACGATCTCGGTCTTCTCGCTGACATGAACCAGACCTGCACAGCCGTCATCATGGCCCAGATCGGATGCTATGTCCCCGCGACCTCCGCCCGCCTAACACCCGTGGACCGCATCATGTCTCGCCTCGGCGCCAACGACAACATTTTTGCCTCGCAGTCAACATTCTTCGTCGAGCTCTCCGAGACGAAGAAGATCCTCGCCGAGGCGACGCCCCGCTCGCTCGTCATCCTTGACGAGCTCGGACGCGGCACAAGCTCCTACGACGGCGTCGCCGTCGCCCAGGCCGTCCTTCACCACGTCGCCACGCACGTCGGCTGCATCGGCTTCTTCGCGACGCACTACCACTCCCTCGCCACCGAGTTTGAGAACCACCCCGAGGTCCGCGCCCGCCGCATGCAGATCCACGTCGACGAGGCCGAGCGCCGCGTCACCTTCCTGTACAAGCTCGAGGACGGCGTCGCCGAGGGCAGCTTCGGCATGCACTGCGCCGCCATGTGCGGCATTAACAATCGTATCATTGAGCGCGCAGAGGTCGCCGCCCGCGAGTGGGAGCACACGAGCCGCCTGAAGGAAAGCCTCGAGAAGGCCAAGACAGGCTGCTACATCCCGCTGGGCATGCTCAGCGACGTCGCATCTCTGCTGCGGGACGAGGAGGAGGTGGGCAATGTCGACGTGCTGCTTCGGGCTGTGGAGGCCATGTGATGGCTGTGTCTCTATTTATTTTCGGGTTTCTTGTTGGAGGATGTATCTATGGCATCATGTGGGTTTGACCTTGGCCGTTGCAGCTTCGGAGATCAGGTGTTCGGTGTAATCATGTGATAGGGGTTCGTGTTTGATCAGTACTAGACGATTAGTGGAGGAGACTGGCGCATAGGCCAGAAATTGAGACATGATTCTTGTTACCAAAAGGAACGCGTTGCATCGCATAACTGGAATATCGATGGGCTGGCGTGGCTGGTATGGTCCTCCAGCCCAGACTAACATCGAGGCCTGCTGCTCTACTTGACTGTTCTGTCT